TTGAATGGCTCATGTTAATGTCCACAGGGCCTTTCTTTTTTAGTTTTCTCCTGCTCTTTGCTTTTGAAAGAAGCATTAGTTGCTCCTGGACTGTATTTTTTTTCATTACTTCACTAAGTTTGATTGCTCCTTCTTTTTAACAGAAGGCATGCCTGTGTCACAAATGTGCGGGCTCAAGCCATAGGGTTATTTTTCTGACTATGAACACCATTTATTTCAGTGTTATTATTCAGGAAGGAAAAGGCTTGTATTTCTTTGTTTCAAGTGAAGCCTGCATTATATCCCACTGGGAATATGTGACAGAAATTTGAAATAACAAAATAGAAATTTGAATCAGGTTTATTTAATTAAAAAGAGGGAGGAAATTCTGAATTAAAGTTATTTTTCTATCTTCCCCTTTCTGGTCACTGTGCGTTTTGAGTGTTTGTTTTAAAAATTCAGAGCTTCTTGTTGTGTAGTTGCTAGGCAAAGCAGGCTCTATAAGGAAGGATAAACAATGTTTTTTAATAGTTATTTGAATTATATATTTATGATGGGGTAAATAATTTCATGCAGATGGCTTGGAATGCAGGTGCAGACTTCATGAAATCTGCTTTATCCTTTTCCGATGTTCCTGCTGCTGTCTGCTGTGTTCCTAGAAGGTAGCCAGCCCTGGGTGCAGGGTAGGGTGTGGAGGAAAGACAACGCGGAAAGTTAAGGGACAATAGTGTTGTAGCTGGGTCCAGATTGCTTTGCATTCGAGGTGCTTTTAACAAGGACAAGAGATTTCAGTGAGGAATTTCTGGGCAGTCCTGATGAGCTGGACTTGTTTTTCTAGAAGAACCCAAATCAGGTGCAAGGAAAGTAATAGAGCTTTTATTCAGCAGTGTCATTTTAAAAGACAGCTTCTGACTTGTGAAGAATGGTTATGCTAATTGGAAAATAAAACTCAGGGAGTTTAATCACTCTGTAAGTCTTGGTGCACCTTACCTGATTAATACCATGGCTGTTGATTATTACCTATGCAATAACTTGGCATGTCTAGGATTACCTTTTTTTTTCTCTGCATTTGCTCTGAGTGTTGGTGGTGATTATGTTAATCATGCTCCTGATGATGGGTGGTATATTTTTAAACTATTTTTAATTACTGTTATCTCCATCTCTTTAACTCTTTGCATTTCTTAAGCAATGCTTTATCATGAGATAAGATTTTTGTTTTCTGTCTTCTGTGTGAAATCACTGAAAGTACATTTCTGGTTTGTTTGATTTCAGTTTCCATTGTAATGGGAATACCTACAGTGAAAAGAAAAGTCAAGTCCTACCTTACAGAAACTCTCCATTCCCTTATTGATAAGTTGTCTCCTGAAGAAAAGCTGGATTGCGTTATGGTTGTCTTTATAGGAGAGGTAATCACTTAAATATTTTAATATGATTTCTAACCTACCTTTAATTACAAGTACTATTTCTTTCCGGAATTAATAAGGATCTGCTTTTTCTTCAAAATATAGACAGATGACTGTCTTCCTCAATGAAAGGAAGATGGTTTCAGTCTTGTGTTTCTGAGATAAATGATCCTGAAGAGCCCAGCTTTTTCTGTTTATCAAGGGAAATAGTGGACACAGATTGAGTGGGCTGGTTACTTTGTGAATCTTCTGATGCTTATGCATCGTGACAGAGATGTGACTTTATTCTTTCAACATCAAAATAATGGCCAAAGTACTCTGGTGCTGCAGCGCGGATTCTTCCCATTCTCTTCATGCTACTGCTTAGTCGTTCCTCAAATGAGTGCTTCAGTTTGCGATGTTAACCACACACTGTTACTGATTTTATTTTCCAGACAGGGTGGATATTGTAAGTCCAGACCTTCTTCATGGATTAATTCAAACAGTGTTCAGTGGGACAGTTCGGTCAGTTTGGCTCTGATTTAGTGGAAATAAAATTCAGAAAAATGATAGAATGCTTTCAGAAATAATTCTGTAGGCTGCTGGGAGTTGCATATACTTATTTTAGTGGATATGTTTTTCTCAAGAGTCTTACTTGGGGAGTGGGAAATTTATTTTTATATTTGAACTTCATCCATCTAATCATGTAGTGCTCTCCTGAAACAGTGTTTTATGAGTCCCACAGATGAAAATTTGAATCCTCTAGTTATAACTGTGAAAATGGTTTTAGTCCTGTCAGCCAGTGTCTATTCAGGGGTGAATCAGTGAAATGATGGGAGTCTTACAGGGAACTATTTCAGAGAATAATAGGGTACAGTAAATTCTTCATCTGGAACTATGCTGTGGTTTTTTTCTGAGTTATGCTGTATATTTGACCTTCTTTCTGCAAGATGAAAAGTGTAGGTTTATTAAACATAGTCTCTGGCTAATTAAAGGAAGGCCTACTTCCCTGATGGACTTCTGTTTCTCCTTAAACAAAAGGAAGGGCTTTAGCTTTTAAAATAGCTTTGTGGAGTATCCTAACCTAAAATATGTTAAAACTATTGCTATTATTAACATGTGTGTATTAATGAAAGCTTTAAAAGAAAAACCAACAACCAACAAAACAAAACCATTTGAATTTTGACCAACTATGCTGTATTAAAAATGATAGCAAAAGTTTCTGAAAAAAGGTATGGCCTCTGCTCAACATTTGTGCAGTTTGCTTACAGCAAGAAATAGTCATAGTGTAAGGTTAGTTAATTTTGGTAATAACCTTAAAATTACTATCTGTGCTTTGTCTATAGCTTGTACCAACAAAGTGCAAGAGTTTACAGAAATGAGAATGATATGAAAAATGGTATATTAGAAGGATTTTGGTATTTTCTTGCTGACTCTATTTCAGAAATGAAATTGACAGTGTTTAAGAAGCATTGCTGGGAGCCACAGTCATGGACTGTAATCTCTTTGTGCTAAGCACTCTCTTTTAATTCTCCTATTTTTTTAGCAGTTGAGTCTTACTCCTTTCTTGTAAGTTTTACTTTTTCACTTGAAAACAAGTTGAAAATTAAGGCTAATGGCCTTCTGCAAACAGCATGAACAGTGTAAACAGACAAGCAAGTAAATATAGATGTATTATGGTTGCTAAATAAAGAGATCTGCCTATTCATTTGCTGTATGGTTATTTCTCAGTAACGTAATTATACACAGTAAATTTCCATACTGGAAGTTCAAGAAATTCTAAAATATCTCAGCTGATGTGATACCTAATCATCAGTTTAAATAATTACTGGAATTGCTTGACAGTAAACTGTGCAGTTGTCCCCGTAACTGACATACGTCTGTGTTCTCCAGTTTGTTAAAATAACTTTATTGCAGAAAAATTTGCAGGTATTCATTAGGATGACTAATAAATAGGCGTGATTCATTATACCTCTATACTTAAATCTTTTGATTCCCCTTCACAATGTAGCTGGTTCAAGATGACTTGAAACAAGCAATTCTAATCTTATAAACCTGCTCTGTATGAGAACTTGCTATCAGAATAAACTGTAGGCTCCAGGTTTAAGAAACTATGAACTCCAGGTTCAAATGGTTGTCTAGTATTTTTATTTAATAGGGTTTGTAATCAACCTGGGAAACGTGGTTTTGAAGTACTTCATCATAGTAGAACAACATACATACATACATATATATAGAAAAACACACACATAAACTTATATATGTGTGTGTATATATATACAAACACATACACAGACTACTAAATATGAGATAAATTAAAATACTTTTCTGGTATCTAAACAAATTTATTTTTCTGTGGGGAGATCTCATTTATCATGAAAAAAATGCATCTTAGACTTGTTCTAAGTATATCACAAATTATTGTCAGTCCACTTCATTAATCAGTGACTGCATTTAGCACAGGCTTTTGTACAAACAGTAATCAGTGTATACTGGAAAAACTGTAAGTCCTCGATTTGACCAAATAAATAATTTCAGTAGGAATCAGAAGACACTGCAAATATGCAAAAACATTTTGCTAATTCTTTATGTTACAGGTTATACCTGACTAGGCAATATTTGACCAGCCATTTGTTCTTGGAGCACTAGTCCATATGTTACACTTTTTTGCATATTGTTTATTCAGATCTTCAAATCTACAATTCACTTAGGTTAGAAAATATCTCGAATATCTTTTACTGTCACCATGTCGTCTCTTTATGTAAGCAGTGGCTGCTAAATTAAAAGTTGTTGATCTTCGATATTGTTTTCTCTGTCCTTTTGTGGAGAATTTTTTTTTCTTTATTTCTTTGGAAAAGGTTCTGTACTGGTTGGGTCAGCATAACACAAGCACCCAGTACAAGCACCAAGATCTTGTGTGCTGGTGTGATCAAAGCTGTAGCAAATTAAGCACTGAGTGTACATGCTGGGTCAAGCCTTGCTGAACCTGTTTTGGGTGTATTCACATTGGAGTGCAATGTGGAAAACTTCTCCAGAAAAATAAACATGCCTGTATTTTTACTTCTTCTTGTTCTGGGTCTCAATTATAGATCTCTTTGATCAGCAGATCTCTTCATAGAAAACAAAGGAGTATTTTGTCTCTCTTGCTCACAACTTAGATGTAGTCATATCATCCCAGGTACAGAGATGTTCCATCCTTTCCACCAATTGTTGAAAACCTGAGAGCTGCTCCTTCCTGGAGCTTCCCCGGAGAGGGTATTCCTGGTCCTCAAAATATCTCACTGCACATTTTGAGATGTGGAGAAAGCCCAGTAGATCTTAGGATATACATACGTATGTATGTATGTAATATATGTGTATATGTATCTTTTAAAAAATCAAATCTAGACAAGGCTGTTGTGCCAAATGATAGATCATCTTCACCAGGTAATTTTAAAGGCCTAGACAGATAGTAGCCTTTGTTTTGGACATCTCACTCAAAACTCATCAGGATGAACACAACTTCTAGATATACTGCCAAATATTATATCTGAAAGGCTAGCTTGGCTTGTCAGTGAGCATTTCAAATATTTAAGCTGCTATTGCAATCCCTGCTTCTCTCGGGCCTAGTCTTTGGTACCCAGAGAGCATGAACTGCTGATACTGCGCACCATGATAGGATTTTATGCTCCTCTATTTTCATAGCAGTGACTGGCCAAGTTTTTATATGGGATGAAAAGAGTGATAAAAATCTTTCTTGGATCTCAGAAAAGATCCTTGACAGGATTTGAAAACTTCCATGTACCTAAGACAAATTTAGTATCTCAGCACAAAGATAAAATTCAGGCTTGTGCTCTTTTCTCAAGCCCTAGACTTGAATGACTGAAATGCTTCTCTATCTGTAAGATACCTTCTGAGGTGCACCGGGGCCACAGCAACAATCTGATGCTTCTGGTAAGGGAACATCACTGTTAATAGACAGTTGTGTCTGATCTCTTTGGTAGCGTCTAGTATATTTGTGAGATGGAAAGTGGCTGTAATAATCTTATTTCAGAAACCTTGTAGCCAGTGACTTCATACCTGGATGATTGACAATGCTATCAATTTGTGCTACTGTGGTCTGCCTTGGCCTAAAGATAGTAAGGACAAATTCCTTCTGTCACAGAATGGTAGGGGCTTGCAGGGAGGTAATCTAGTCCAACCCCCCTGCCAAAAGCAGGTTCACCTACAGCAGGTTGCACAGGAAAGTGTCCAGGCAGGTTTTGAGTATCTCCAGAGAAGGAGACTCCACAACCTCTCTGGGTGGCCTGTTCCAGTGCTCTGTCACAGTCACAGTAAACAAGTTTTTTCTCATGTTCAGATGGAACCTCCTGTGTTCCAGTTTGTGCCCACTGCCCCTTGTCCTGTCTCAGGGCACCACTGAAAGGAGTCTTGACACCCACCCTTCAGATATCTATAAGCATTGAGAAGATTCCCTCTCATTCTTCTCTTCTCCAGGCTAAACAGACCCAGGTCTCTCATAAGAGTTGTGCTCTGGTCCCCTAATCTTGTAGCCCTCTGCTGGACTCTCTCCAGTAGTTTTATGTCTGTCTTGAACCAGGGACCGCAGAACTGGACACAGATGTGGCCTCACTAGGGCAGAGTAGAGGGGGAGGAGAACCTCCCTCAACCTGCAGACCACATTCTTTTCAATGCACTCCAGGATACCATTGGACTTTTTGGCCACAAGGGCACATTGCTGGTTAACTTCTTGTCCACCAGGACTCCCAAGTCCTTCTCTGCAGAGCTGCTTTCCAGCAGGTCACCCCCTAACCTATACTGATGTATAGAGTTATTTCTCCTCAGGTGCAGGACCCTACACTTGCCTTTGTTGAACTTCATTAGGCTCCTCTCTACCCACCCCTCTAGCCTGTGAATAGTCTGTCCTCCAAATAAAGAACACATATAATAGAAGGGGGGTGCTTTTGACTGTCCCTTCTTTTGTTGTGGATTTTTTGGTTTGTGGTTTGTTTTGTTTTGTTTTGTTTTTTTTGTTCTGGCTGGCT